ATGTTGCTGTAAGTCAGAAACAGAACAGATCTAACAAATTTTTTTTTTCTTGAATAAAAGCAGTTTTCGAAAATATAAACAAAATGGAAAACACTCATTGAGAACATATTTTTAATGCAACTTGAATATTTACAATGTTTAAATTTAAAAAAAATTCTAAATTATAAAAATATTTATTTTTTAAAGCTCTAATGTCACTACGCTTACAAAAAAATTTGATCAACTTTCGTCAAATACTTTAAGAGAAAATGAGTTTTGAAAAAAAGATTGCTTAGAAATATATTTGATTATAAAAACTTTAAAAATTAAAATTTTTCAAAACAATTCTCAGAATCCCTTTCACATCTACCTACAAATTTTCACGCAAAAATACGAACTTGACTGAAATCCGAGGTCCAGTTAAGAAATTTTCACCCAATTACGACTGCAACTTTACCACAGTGACTGTTCGTAGAAGTGACTGTGACTGTTACTGCTATTATGGAAAGCGCAATCCTGCTACAAAAACATCATTGTGACTGTTCCTTTGTCACAGTCTATAACGGTGACTTTTTGGAAGTTGTCACAGCAGTTAACCGTGACTTTTGAGTAACCGAGACAAAGTCACAGATACGGAAATATCTGCCACCTCTGCTACATGGTAAACAGGGATGGTTTTAGCCCTATTTCAGACATCTTCGACAGAACGTTCAGTTAGATATAATAAGATAATCTTATATAGATATATGTGGCCGATACCACGCCCCATTTCCAAAATTCCATAATTATGCTACTTCTTTTAAAAGGATTGTTATTAGACTCAATTTTAAGAAAATTTGCGTCCTTAAATTTCGAAACATCAAAGTTTCAAGTATTTCTAAAATTTACCTTTTGTTTTTATGTGGCAAGCACAATAATCGTATCGAATTTGGTACAAATTGATCGAACGGTTACCGGGATACACACAAATGTGGTCATAAGGTAGCGGTGACACGCCCATTTTCCCAACTTTTATGGTAAACGTATTTTTTGATAAAGAATTATCACAAACATCAATTTTGAATAAATTAGTTTCAGTATTTACTGATTTATCGAAGACTTCCGATTTTAAAAATTGGTATGTTGTACCAAGGCCAACAACTGTACCAAGTTTGGTAGAGACTGGTGAAGCGGTTACCAAGTTATACACATTTAATCATAAGTGTGCGTGGCTACGCTCCTTTTCGAAAAATTTATGATATTCTTATTTTTCGTTTAGAAATCATTGCAAATATGAATTTTGAGTGAATAAGCTTCAGTAGGTACTAAAATGTCGCAGTTTGCGTGTTTCTACCGTTATAAGGGAGATAGGCGTGGTTATTGTTCGATTTAGCTCATTTTCAATACCAACTGTCCAATACCCAGCTTCGTTAAAGTACCTCAATCTTCACTTGAGATAGACAGTTATCAATTAATCGATTACTTTTTTTTCATTCTGATCACTTATGTATACACATATTTGACTATATCTATCTCGTTCGTTTTGGCTGTTACAAACAACTGTTATGTGAACAAAGTTATAATACCCTTTCGCACAAGTGCGCTCGGGTATAAAAAAGTTTTCCTTTGGGAAAACTTGGCAAATCGTGCAATCTGTACACCAAGACCTCGAAAAGCCCGCTAACATTTCTATCATTTTCAAGCAATTTTTCCACAATTTTCATGACTTTAATATCCTTAATTAGGTATAATAAAACTAGTTATGCCTTTACTAAAAGAATATGGAGTTTTTAATATGGGCCAAATTGCGGGACCAATATCCGTGGGATATATTTACCGGGCCAAATCAGTTCTGGGCAAATAACATTTAACTGAGACTTTTTTGCGCCCGTATTTCTAATCTTATTGAAAGATAATTTTTTGTTTGAAAGATGGGTAGAAGGGCTGTTAGATACCAAATATATTTTCTTGCCCTAAGTAGGGCTGCAGGCGAGATATATATTACTTACCAGTAAAATAAGTAAGTATCTGTCGGTGAGAAACACCCCGGGTATAATTATCCCCACTTTTGCACTGGGAATTTTTATGTATACATTTGCCATTTATGTAAATATGTTTACACAAATATTTACCGTACCTACATATTATAAGCACCTATCTCATAAACACTTCACTTTTTTCACTTGGTCTGTTCTTACATACTTATATATATGAGCAAATCTTACGAGTTGTTTTTTTAGTGTCACTCCCTTCTCTCGGCAGAAAAAAGACGCTAAAGCATTCTTCTTGCATTTATTTCAATCAATGGAGTTCCAGAAACAAGTACAATAAAAAATAAGTCAAGTATTTGAACAATTTTTTCTCAATGTGAATCATGCCAAAATTACTAATTTTTTCATTGTCACTCGAAAAAATCATAATTGTTTTTGTTTAATAATCTTGGGAAGTTTAAATAAAAAATGTTGATATTAGAGGCAATGCACGTTGCATCAAATATATACAACATTTCTTTGAAATTTCAAGAGTGTGCAAACAAATTAAAAAATGGCAAAATACAGAATACATTTTTACGTTTTTTTTAACAATTTTAGATACTTCAAAATGTTAAAATTAAAGGGTGGAAATGTTCTTTTTGCCAAAACAAATGAATCTAGTGTAATAGAATTAAAAAATTATATTGAGTAAAATATGACTATGACTTGAGAAACTTAAATGATTAGATGGCTGCGTTTAGCGCTACGGGGCGTATACGTTACATACGCAACTAAGCACGAGTTATTTGTACCTTTTTAGTATATCATTTTAAATTTTTCATTTAAATACATTAGCTGTGTTTTTTTAAAAATTATCCAGTAACTTGCCAGCAACTATCCAGTAACTTAATTTCTGAGAATTCGCTCCCATAGAAAAAAAAAAATATATGTATATTCGCATCAAACTCCTAATCTTATTACATTAAACGTGCAATTCATGTGTATATATATATCCATAGGGTTCTCGTAAACGGCTCTAACAATTTTGATGAAATTTTCTCCGAGAAGCCTCGTATAAGGTTGCCACCTATTCGAAATTAGTTAAAAATTAATTAAAACATCATAATATGGGTATCAAATGGAAAGTAGGAAAAAAGGTAAAGTATTACTATTCTCGGGTACCAAGAGAAGGTTCTTAAACAATGCTTTCCCTATATATAAAATGTTATCCCTTGCCACTTATTTTAGATTATACACAAATTATCTAAAACATCGCAATATGGATCTCACAGGAAAGGTATTGTTAAGAACTTTGGTCAGAAAATATGTTCCATTAGGGTTGCCACGCTTCTATGTAGTTCCAATTTTTATTTTGTTAATTTCAATTAGCATTTTCTCATGTATACACAGTACATATACATACACTCAAAATATGTACCATTCATTGCAGCGTATCTCGGAATAGGGTTGCCACCTAAATTTTGGAGTAAGAAATTTTCTTAATAGATACCGAAATCCAATAATTATTTTTTTCTTCCATAATACTTTTTAAAGCTATCCAAATCTTGAAAACTTTAAAAGGTATATGCACTCCGGGCAAAACAATATATTTCATATTTAAATAGGTATATTTTGTCAATGTCAACGATGAAAACCCCACAAACAGTTTCCTTATTAGTTTGAATTGCATCCAGCAACATGCGATCAGCTGTTTTTCGTACAGGCAAATTGTTACAAACGAAAATTTATCCAGTAAAAGCTTGCAACTTCAGCTGTCATTTTCGCTCTCTAAATTTCCCCTACTTTGCAAGTTTTTGCGTATGAAAACGCTAAAACATGAAAATTCGTTACAATTTTTACTGGATTTTACTGGAAATGAGTAAACAAACACAACTAATTTCGCGTTGGAATCTTGTTGTTTTTTACAAAACTGAAGATAACGCATTTTTTAAGATATGCGTAACACCTTTTTTGACCAAAAACACGTTTTTTTAGGAGGGAAACGCTGTATTTTCACTGTTTCCGGTGTTCAAATTTCAAACAAAATAATCATTATATTCGGATAAGAAATATACTTATAGACATGCATACATATTCATAATACCTCTTGCCATAAATTGTAGAACTAGGAAAAACTTATAAATTAGTGATCTAAAATTGCTTATGAATTCATGAGCCAGAATTTGTTTTAATTCTTAAAGTAATGTGAAAATTACTTCTATAACGGCCGCTGTGGTGTAGTGTTTACCAGTTTGTGCTGCCATTCCGCAGTGCGTGGATTCAAGCCCAGTTTTCGATCAACATCTAAACAAAGAAAACATTTTTTTCTAATAGCGGTCGCCCTTCAGAAGGCAATGGCAAAACTCCGAGTATATTCTACCATGAAAAGCAGCTTCTCATACAAATACAATCGCCGTTCGGAGTCGGCGTAAACCCGTAGAAAGACTAGATTGTAAAGATGTATTCTGCGGAAATAGTTGAAAAGGGAAGTACATTTTCCCGATCAAAACTTTCGCCGCAACCACAAAAATACAGCTGTTGTCATCCNATGTAACTCAAAGCGTTCAGCTTTTGATAAAATTTACAGAAATTCGACAAATTTCAACAAATTTTCATCAAAATTTCACATTATTTAATCAGAGTCCCTAGAAAAAAAATCGGGTATACAATTTTGTAGCCCATTATATTTTAATATAACAAAGTGGGATTTTTCGTTACTTTTTTTTTTAATGAGAGTGGTACGCGTTCTGATTAAAAAAGTGTGAAATTTTGATTAACATTTGCTAAAATTTGAAATGTTTGTATATATCTCGTACAAAAATAGGAACTATATTTTTGTAAAAAATAAAATAAATTAAGAAAGAACGAAATTTTTAAAACTTGTAAAGGAGTCCTGTGCCAAATTTTGTGTCCACCACTGTAATTGTATATGTACATACAAACATATGTAAACACACAAAGCCATAAAACTCTGCACATACGAATGACTTTAATGACATACCTACATACATATATGTATATGTACATATTTACTATAACTAATCTTTACATATTTTTTTATCTTTACAGGTATTGAATCGTTCAGCTATGATCCTCAACGCTTTGCCATGGATTATCATATTATCGGCTTTCGTGAGTGCGCTGCTGAAGTGGCACGTTATTTAGTGACCATAGAAGGCATGGATATACAGGATCCTCTGCGCTTGCGCCTAATGTCGCATTTGCAATATTTCGTTCAGCAACGTGAGTTATCGGTCAAGAGTTGTTCCAGCCCCGGCGGTTGGACTACTGCGTCTGCATCTAGTGGATATCAGCCACCGAATTGTGCTGCGACGCCTTATCAATCGTATGCAGGCACGGCCTCCGCTCACCCAGGTATCAATCCCACTTACATGCCCGCACCAATACATCCCTACCCGACGCTGAGCACATCACCGACCAGCACCTCACATCTGCATCCGCACCTGCATCAACAGCAACAGCTGCAACAACAACAGCAACAAGCAGCGCCTGTGCAAGTAAATCGGGCATCTTCAGCTTCTGGTGCAGTGCCGAGTGAGGCAATGCCAACCATAAGCCATTCAACAAGTCAGCAGAATACTCAACAACAACAGCAACAACAACCACACTCAACGCACCAAACACAGCCGGCATCGTCACACGTGCAGCAAACAGCCGTGTCACATGAAACTCATCATCAGCAGCAACAACAACCACCACAAGTGCAACCGCAGCCGCAACATTACACCCAAGAGCATACACACACCGATCAACAAGGCGTCACATATGCCGACCTGTCCAACGCTCAGGTTCATGCTGATCATCGAAATCCCACGGCGGCCATTTCGAGCACAGGTCTGAGCTACACCGGGTCTACACACTATCCGGTTGCTGGAGCGCAAGAATACAATCCCAATTATGTTGCCGCAAATGGGTCGAAACCATATCGGCCGTGGGGAGCCGAAATGGCTTATTAGGGTGGCTCGCCGTGATGCATTTTTTTTTATTTGCACATAAATACTAAGCATGCGTTGTTTGAACATTGAAGAAATGATATTTGGAATCTAGTCACTAAAATTTGAATTTATTCGAGTGTAAATTATTTGCTTGCTTTACATATAAAATTGTACATGTATTTAAGCAGAAAAGTTAAGATCCTGCAATGCAAAGAATTGAAATACTATGGACGTATGTATATCTCGATGTATGGAAGAAGGTGTTCCAACATGTACAAATATACACATTAAATGTTACTTACCCATTACTATGTTTAAGCTTTAATGAATAGCATTTACAAACATGAAAGAAAATAAATATTTTTTATACAAATTTATTGTGAACTGTATACAAAATTTTAGGTACACTTCAAAACAAATTTCTTAATAAGAAATTACATAAGTATATGTATATATATTGTAAGCACGAATTAAGTTTAATATGTATAAGCAAAATAACAAACAATTATTTATTTTTGTACGGATAATAAAATTCATATTACATTTACATTGAGAAAATACCAAATGTTTTGCTGTGTATACATATGTATGTATGTACATTAGACTGCATCACCAGTAAAAATTGCGGTTTTTCCGAATGGGATTACAAAATATATTATATTTTAAGACGTCCACCAAAATATTTCCTAATAATATTAAGATTTAAGCGATTTGAAAATACCTCCAAAATCGGAGTTTTTTATGAATAAAAATAGTTTCTTAAAGAACTTTTTGGAAAAAGTTCGAAGAAAAGTTCGTTCATCCTACATTTCTCTTTCATCCTTTGAATGAGCTTATTAGCAAAGAAATAAAAAGGGTCAGAAAATACCACTCCAATGACACCTCACAAGTCTAAATCGGAAGAGTTTAGGTTCAAGTATTAAAGTTTTTCTTATACCAATCTTTGAAAATAGTTAAGAAAANTACCAATCTTTGAAAATAGTTAAAAAAAACAGCTCAAAAATCTCATTATTACGATTCCGTTCAATTTTTTTTTTCTAATATGTTTATGTAAATATTTCAAGCTTAAATCATTTTGTCATTTGAGGGGATTTTTTTCAAAAAACATCTTTAAGAAACTATTTTTATTCATAAAAAAATTCCATTTTTTGAAGGTATTTTCAAATCGGTCCAAATCTTAATCATCCGAAATATTTTGGTGGGCGTCTTAAAATATAATATATTTTATAATTTCAATGGAAAAACAGTATCGATTTTTTTTGTATTGGGAGTGATGCAGTCTAATGTACATACTTAGTTCATAACTTTTAGTTTCGCTTGATCTTTACTCTACCAAATAGTCCAATTTCCCGAGGAGTTTACAATAGCCATTCCTTTTAGCGATGAGTTCAAATTTCGAGCCAAATCTCCTTCCGCCGAAATATCTTTTAGGCTAGTAAACAGGAATCAAGCACCGGCCATATGGCGACCGAAGTAGCAATTACACTATGCGACAGTCAAAATCGGGATGGGATGAAACCAACGGGAAATGTTATATCGGCCNACAAGTTATACGTGTCCCGGCGTTTCGCTGGGTCACGTCTAGGAATCGAGATATATATATAACTATCATATAGGGGAAATTGTCACCTTTGGTGGTCTTTTTTTGACATAACTCGAGAACCACTAGTCCGATTTTGCTCAAACAAATTAAAAAAATTTAAAAATATAATTCCTTTAATCTGTTCATATAACGTTTTTCTATATATTAAACAGTTTTGCCGGTAAAAATAAATGTATGAAGAAAAAAAATATTTTTTGCCTAAAATATTAAATTTTTTTAAAACTGTTGATTATATAGAAAAACGTTATATGAACAGATTAAAGGAATTGTAATTACTAATTTTTTTAAATTTGTTTGAGCAAAATCGGACTAGTGGTTCTCGAGTTATGTCAAAAAAAGACCAAAAAGGTGACAATTTCCCCGATATGATAGTTATATATATATCTCGATTCCTAGACTTGACCCAGCGAAACGCCGGGACAAGTATAACTTCTTTTTTACCGATATAACTTTCCCCGGTAGTTTGAACCCTTCCCGATCACTGACCCCTACCATTTGTCTCACAGTGTTATTAGCCAAATTCAAATACATAACTTCGCCCTAGTGCCTACGCAGGGCTGCGGCTATGCATTGTCGCCTTTGTAGAAGAGCTGTTTTCGTTTAAGTTACATGAATATTCGCAGTTGATTGATTTTCCGTATCAGCGATGCCAACTCCATCAAGGCCGACTCCCCTCAATTTATGAAAAAATTACTTTAAAGGGATTTCCTGACGACATTCTGTCATTATTTACACACTTTCCAAATCATTCTTTAAAAAAAAAATATGGTTATTTATTCATTTATTTATTAGTCTACAGAAAAATGTTTTCGTACAGACAAATGAGATAAAAAGGTACATTTAGATATTCAAGTATGTATGATACACTTAGGTCTCCTTTTATGCGCTTTTTTTATGCGGATTTGAATTTATGCGGTTTTTCAAACCATTTTTTCGCTTTTTTGAGAATTGTTATTACTTTTTTTCAGTTTGTAAGAGACAATGCTTCTGATAATTAATTTGTCATTGTATTCCTACATAATTCACGTATATATCGTGGTATTTTTTTTTTGTTTTTGGTTAAAATACAGATACGATTTTATTTATGTTCAGTTTTACATGGAATAATAAGTGTTGATCTGAAGAAGTATATTGTTTTGCTATGCTTAATATTGCCTCACTGGATTTTTTTCATGCGGTTTCTTAGATTTTTTTCATGGAGTATTTGAAAATGCTGGAACGCATTTGTATGAAAGCAAAGAACTTTTTTATGCGGCTTTCTGAGGAACGCAT